GAGTGGACCAAAACTAGGTAAGACAAAGTCTGGTCATTCTTGCTTAGAAGAGCCTTCTGGCTGCACTTCTTCCACGATAGATTTGTTTGTTCTTTTGGCAGTCCATGCTATTTTCAACACAATTCAAAGGCAGCAGTTCTCCTTTGAACTTCCTTATTCATTGTTCTGCTTTCACATGCACATGAGGCTAATGAAATATATCCTGTTTTGGGTTAGGCTTCTCTTAGTCTTCAAAGTGATAATCTTTGCTCTTCAACACTGTAAAGAGGTCTTTCACAGCAGATTTGTCCAGTATAAAGTCATCTGATTCTTGACTGCTGCTTCCATAGGTGTTGATTGTAGATCCAAGTAAAATGAAATCCTTGGATGGCCCTGTCCTTCCTACCAGTCTTAGTCTGGAATCTCTGCTGAAACCTGTCTACCATGGGTGACTCTTCTCGTATGTGAAATACTCATGGCATAGCCTCCAGCCTCACAGTGACATGCAAGCCACCACAGTATGACAAACTGACAGACAAGTGATGGAATTATGGTGTTAGGTAAGAATATTGAATTACATCCTAGACTGTCAGAAGAATAAACAAATCGGTCTTAGGAGAAATACAACCAGAATACGTCATAGAAGTGACGATGGCACAACTTCAGCTCACTTACTTTGGAAATGTCATCAGAAAAGAACATCATGTTTGGTAAAACCCACTGCCATTGAATCCATTCTGACTCACAATGACCTCCATTAGGTTTCTAAGGCAGTAAATCTTTATGGAAGTAGACTGTCCCATCTTTCTTCTGAGGAGTGGCTAGTGGGTTTGAACTGCCAACCTTCTCGTTACTAGTCAAATGTCTTAGGCACTGCATCACCAGAGCTCCTTCATGTTTGGTAAAGTGGAAGGAAATTCTCAATGAGATGGAATGACACAACAGTCACAACAATAGATTCAAACAGATGAATAATCATGAAGATGGCATGATGAGGACTGGGTAGGATTTTGTGTTTTACGTAGGGCACCATGAGTCAGAACTGACTCAATGGCCACTAACACCACCAATAATGGGAGAGTGATATAGATTAAATAAAGTATTAAGTCTGGCTCACAGTAAGTACTTTATGAGTTTTTTAAATCAAAACAAATATAAAAATATTTAGTCTACTTTTATTATACACAAATTAACACAGTGATATTAGAATCATTAACAATTTCCATTTTCATATCAAGTCAGTATATGAAGATTCCTAATATTTTATCATCTACAAACTTTCTTAAGATGAATCTATTAAGAACCTAGCTCTTTGACTCTGTAACTGACGACTTTGCTCTTACTTTGTTTCCTAAGTGGGTGACCTTCAAAATCCCATCTTGCCATACTTTTGACTTCTTTGTCTTCTGATGAGTATAAAGTACCTTATTTCCAAAAGTAAAAAAGAAACAGTTTCAATTTGTATGTATTCAATATTATGCATTTTATATATCCTTCCTACTTACAAAAAATAATTAAGACATCTTTCATTAAAAAAAAAAGTATACACATCATGAGAATAGCAAAGAAACATTCATATATATATTTAAAATAAGTAGTAAAAAGGTAGGGGGAGGACAGAAGGAGAAGTAAAAATCTAAGGAATAAAGTGACAAGTTAACTGAGCACCAAAAGTAATTTTGAGCATGCTAGTCATTGGTGGGAAGGGAAAAATCTATGGGGCTACACAATACTCATGACCCATGCAGCTCTCCAAGTATGGTTCAGAGACTCCTAGAGGTTTCCAAGACCTATTCAGGGATTTGTGAAGTAATGATTATTTTCATGAGAATACTTACATGTCACTTGCATTTTCACTCTCATTGTTTCAGGTTTGTAAAGTGGAGTTTTTCAGAAGTTATGTCTAATATTACAACAGATAGATGCAGAAACAGATGTGAGAATCTAGCTGCTTTCTATTTAGCCAAATGCTTTATAAAAATGTAAAATGACAGTATTCTTCTCAATGTTTTTTTTCCTGTTGTGGTATTGGTTGTTTTAGAAAACATAGCTGCTTTTCATAAAACTATATTTATGTTAACATGTAATGGGTTAATTATTATTTAATATATGTAAAATGTTTTAATTTCTAATATGAAAAATATCAATAGATGTAATTCTCACAAACAAAAGCTCTTTGGGGCCATCAATAATTTTTAAGGGTATAAAAGGGTCCTGGGACACAAAGTTTGAGAACCATTGATCTAGATATAAGAGGCATGCCAGTTTTTTAAGAGAAAGAAATTGTTTCCTGGTCCTAAATTTCTAAAAAATTTATTACAAAGGTCAATGTATAATAAACATGAATAGCAGGCAGAAGATAGGATTGCTAGGTAAAATATACCAAAACCAAACCAAACCCATAGCAACCCCCATTGGGTTTCTAAGGCTAAATCTTTACAAAAGTAGATTATCTCATCTTCCGTCCACAAAGCATCTGGTGGGTTTGGACCAACTTTCTGGTTAGCAATTAAATGTCTTAAGCACTGCACCACCAGAGCTCCTTAGGTAAAATGTAGGTGCCCATTTAAGTATAAATTTTATATACACCATCCTCTTTCAGTATAAATCAAAAAACAAACCAAATCCACAGACATCGAGTTGATTCCAACTCATAATGCCCCTTCAAGACAGAGGAGAACTGCCCCATAGGGTTTCCAAGGCTGTAAATCTTTACTGAAGCAGACTGCCTTGTCTTTCTTCCACAGAGCAGCTGGTGGGTTCTAACCACCAACATTTGATTAGCAGTTGAATACATTAACCACTATGCCACCAGAGTTCCGATTTAGTATAAGTATGTCTCAAATAAGAAAAGCCCTGGTAGTGTGGTGGTTAGGCACCTGGCTGCTAACCAAAAGGCTGGCAGCTCAAACCCAGCTGCTCTGTAAGAGAAGGAGATGGAAGTCTGACTCAAGGGGTCACCATGAGTCAGAATCCACTCTACAGCAATGGGTTTTATGTCCCAAATTTTGAATGGGACAAATTTATTCTAAAGATTATTGTTTATTTGACATTCAAATTTAGCTGGGTACCCTGATTTTTGTTTTTTGATTGCTTTTTGCTAAGTCTGGCAACACTGAGAAGATATTTCTGAAACAGAAGGAAGGAAAGAAGGGAGGAGAAGAAAGAAAATGAGATCGTGAAACTAGGGAAGACTTACAATAAATTCTTGGCTTCCCATTGTTTCTTCTGAAGTTATGAATCAGGCAGGTCTAGTAACTATTCAGTGGGTACTCACTTACACCACTTATTCCACCTAAAATTAAAAATGACAAAAAAATATTCACCCTGCTGAAAAGAATAAGCATCAATATAATTTTTCAACACAAACTCTAGACTGGAAAGAAGAAAAAAAGTTCCAGAACTACCTAACAATAGAGGTAAACAGAGGTATGATCAAATTATCTGCTGCTATGGAAAAGTAATTTTCCAAAGAGAAAGAAAAAACAAAACACACACACACCAAAAAAAAAAAAAAAACTAAGTACAACACATAATTATAGCAGTCTGCAATATTTTCCAGGTGTCATAGTATGTATCAGAAAACATGATTTTCCTCCATGTTTGTGATTCCTTATTAAAAAAAACAAACTTGCTGCTGCTGAGTCGGATCCAATTCATAGTGAACCCTCCTTGGGTTTCCATGGCGGTATTACTACGGAAGTAGATTGCCCAACCTTCCTTCCAAGGAGTGGCTGGTGGGGTTGAACTGCCAACCTTCTGGTTAGCAGTCAAATGCCCTAGGCACTGCACCACTAGAGCTCCTGTCATTCCCGACAGACAGAAGTTAATTTTTTAAGAAACTTTATGAATAGCTATATAGCCACCACAAGATGGCCCCCTTGAGTTTTAAATTTTTTCTTTTACATTTTAAGTCTATACCACCAAAACCAAAAACTAAACTCACTGCAGTTGAGTTGGTTCCGACTCATAGTGACCCCTCCTTGGGTTTCCTAGGCAGTATCTCTATGGAAGTAGATTGCCCAGTCTTCCTTCCAAGGAGTGGCTGGTGGGTGTGAACCATCAGCCTTCTGGTTAGTAGTTAAACCACAAACTAAAAAAACAAACAAACTAACTGCCCTCGAGTTGGATCCAACTCATAGAGACCCCTCCTTGGGTTTCCCAGGCAGTAACACTATAGAAGTAGATTGTCCAATCTTCTCCCTCCTTCCCTCCCTCCCTTCCTCCCTTCCTTCTTTTCCTCCCTCCGTCCCTCCCTTCTGGTTAGCAGTCAATGCCTTAAGCATTAAGCCACCAGAGGTCCCAAGTCAAACCACAGGACCAAAAAATAAACCCACTACCATCCAGTCAACTCTGATTCATAGCAACTTTTCAGGACAGAGTAGAACTGCCCTGTAGGGTTTCTAAGCCTATAAATCCTTATGGAAGCAGACTGCCTCAACTTTCTCATGTGGAGCAGCTGGTGGGTTCGAACTGCCAACCTTTTGGTTAGCAGCCAAATGCTTTAACCACTATACTACTAGAGCTTTTTCTAGCGCTAAATAAGTACTATAATACTTCTGCGAGGAAAAATCTTTTTAATACTATTGTAATGGGTATGCGATGATCCGATAACATTGGATAAAATAGTTTTGTGCACAATTTTGGAACTCTAAACTCATTGTCAGCACTCAGGATAATTTAAAAAAGTAAATCGATATACCAAAGAAATATATTTTCTTTTGTTTTCCTCTAAAGCAGTAGTTCCAAAGGTATTATCTCTGGACCAGCAGCAGCAGCATCTGGGAACTTGTTAGAAATGCCAATTCTCAAACCCCATCCTTGACCAATTGAATCAGAAAAACGGGGTTGGGGTCTCCTAGTCTGTGCTTTAACAAGCACTTCAGGTAATACTGTTGTAAGCTCAAGTCTGAGAATATGGCCCTTAAAGTTCTAAGGGGACCCAAAAAAGCTGTAATTTGAGATTCTGAATTCAGTTTCTCCATTACATATATAAAACAAAATATGCCACCTATGAGTAGCGACTGGGATCTTAAAAGCTAGCAAACTGCCATCTAGATGCAACAA